ATTCAGAATCGTATAAATAATTCAGAATCGTATAAATAATTCAGAATCGTATAAATAATTCAGAATCGTATAAATAAATCAAAGTCATCCCAAAAATTCGCCTATTTATACTACACACTATGGGTTAATGAATAATGTAAATATCGACATTAATTTATTTCCAAGTTAATCGGACAATTTTATCCGTATAACTTTTTACGATCTTTAGAAATTAAGCTTGGATTTTTTTAGAAATATACTCGGATTAAAATTATTTAACACAACATGAAGTATGTTCCAAGTTAAGTATGACATTAAGTTTGTTTACCCTATATGGTTTTTCATCTCACAAAATTTAATTCAATAAATTACTGGTCGAATCATTATTATTGTTTGTAATTAATCATTACCTCTTTTTGATCTAAACTGGATGGCAAACAACACTAATCGTTATTATAAATCTTTTCTTCTATCCAATAAAAATGGGACCAATATTTAAATAAAATTTGTAAAATTGATAACCCATGATTTAAAAAAAGATTTTAATCTAACTTAATTTTTCTTAAATTTTTTGAAATGACCTAACGCTGAGTATGTCCGTATGAACATACGTTTTATGGTAACATGGCGCTTAATTCAAGTGATCTCCTTACGTATCACGAAAATTACCCCTATATTAAACATTCCCTTATTTAATGATATTACGAATAAAGTTTAATAAAGTTTATTCGATTCTCCAATATAATCCTATATACAGTTAAGTCAGAATGAATATCATTTGAAAAAGACCTACAATAGCATAGTGATAGTGGTGGTAAAAATAATTGGCGCACACGCGACTAACGATTATTTCTGAGATCATTTAACTATATTCAAAGTAACGGTAAATCAACTATATAACATGATTACGCACATTGGTAATTAAAGTCGGACGGACACACATGATCACGAAACAATTTTATTATATGGGAAGGATTTTTTAGAAGTCTTGGTTGTGAAACGAAAGGTTAGAATTCTATAAATAGAATAATATCTATAACAAAAAAATATCATCCGCTAGTTACCGAGACGAAAAGAAGGGCATGTCATCTTTGGTTTAGATTGAACTAACGCTACGCATCTATACCTGATCTTTTTTTAAAACAGACTAATTTCTTTATCGCTTTGCCTTTTATATAATATTTATCTTACATCATTTCTTAAATTTATTACGACCACAAAAAAGCAATGGGATTTTTTTTTTCCTTTTTTTTTTTAGGGTATGTTAATAAAAAAAAAGAATTATTCATGATTAAAGAACAAGTTTTGAATCAAGACAAAAGCAGGTCTTATGATAATCGCTTACTAAAATTCGTCAAAAATGGTTTCGGACTTGAAATAAACTTGAAATTTTGATAAGTTGACTTTTTTCACTTCAATAGCAAATTTCAAGTTTAGGTTGATTAGACAATATTCCCATGATCTAGCGTTAAGCGATTTTGGCTAGTGATTTGATCCGTCTAAAAAAAAAAAATCCACCCGGGTCACCCGATGGGTGGGTCATATGTCACCCGGGTAAAACCCAGGTCAACTAAAAAGTCTCCCACACGGGTCACCCATCGGGTAAACGACATGTCACCTGTGTAAAATCAGATGGATCAACTCAAAAATCTTTATTCCGAACTTTCGCGGCAACCTTGCTCGTCTTTTATGTTCGCTGACTGTCTACTATTCCAAAACCTCTCGATAGTAGACATACACAAGTCCACGGGTCACCCGTAGGTCGTTCAACGGGTGACTCACTCGGGCGGCAATATCTCAACCCGGGTTACCCACCACCCGCGGGTGACATCCACTCGGGTCAAATCACTAATTTGGGCTATGGTAATATAGCGATTTTAATAGCGATCTTCTGCAAAAACTAGGGGCATGCGTTTAAAATGTGAGATTCAGGTCTTCACGAAATTGCTGCTTAACTTTAGATTCTATCAATATATTATGATATTAACTTGTATGATTTGAGAAAATAATGTGATTCGTGATTTTTTTTGTGAAACTGTCGCTACGAACCTAGCATAGACATCAAGATAATTACGTACGTAAGGAGTTTAAATTACTTGCGTAATGAAATTCTATATTGTTGGTGAGTGAGTTACGTAAATTATTTGGGTAGTTATGCTGGAGGAGTCACTTTGTGACTTTGCAGTATTACATGTTACTCCGTTCCTGGTATAAATATCACTCTGATCCTGGTATAAATTTGTTTATTTAAATAATGCATCCTGTCTATGTTAAAGAATAATGTCCCAAAACGACGATCAAACAACGGTATAGTTTGGTCTTAACAAATGTTGTCTTAATTATTAAATCTTCCAATGATTAATATTTCTGTTATAAACATATAGGTCAAATTACAGCACAACAAAGTAATGGTTTGTTCTAGTAAATATTGGTCATCTGGTATTAATTTTTCTAATCGGAACAAAGTTTACTAATTATCAGTTTTGATATTTTTGAATTTATAATTACTACGACGAAGACATTATTGCGTTTTAGTAACTTTTAATTTAGTTCAATCACGGTTACTAGTTACTAATTTCAAAGATACAAAAAATACATCTACAATTTTGGAACTAAAACCCAGAAGAATTTTAATTTAGGATCAAATATAATAGAGGGGACTCCATTAATAAAATTGATTATTATCCAATTGATTTATAATAGGGATTCTCTATATTATATTTATATTTGATCCAACATCATAAATATGTTTACTAAGAAAAACTTCCAATTCATCATGTTGAATTGTCCAATTTCCATCAATTCTTTTTCGGTGATCTATATTCTCACTAAAAAAAGTTGTTCGTATACATCCCCATGGATTTATAGGTCTAGCGCCTAAAAGGATTAAATAAAATTAATCATAAAGGTGTATTTGCTTTATAAAATGTATAATAAATGATATATTACCAAATAGAAACGCATCTAGTGCTATTAATGCTCCTGCTATGGCTAACATGTTTGAAACAACGGATAAAGCCTAAATAACCAATAAAATTGATAGTTATGAAAATCATAGTTTTATTATATTAATTAGTAAATAACATTATACTTTTATTTCTCTGTTCTGCTTGTGTCTCGACCACAAAATCGTCAGGATCAATCATAAATCCTGACGCGGCTGATTGATAATATGTATAATTTCTGGTAGTTGGGTCTAGATAAATTGTTATTTGTCAAATAATTCTGATATACGTATGGTTCACGTCACCTATACTTACCTAACCTTTCTCAAATTTTACTAGATTTTAATCACGTGCATCGATTATGATTGGTCAAAATTTTATATTACCAAAGAAAAAAATTATATTTGGCTCGAAATTTGAGAAACCACTTAGTTTTACCCTTTAATGCTTCACCAAATAACAAACAATTAAAAAAAAGTAAACCGTAACTGAAAGAGATGCTTCAGATTTGCTATTTTTACGGTTTATATTTTTAATATTACTTAAATTAAAAAAAAACAAGATGTTATTTGAAATTATATGAATCTCTTTTGATGACTAAGGGTGCTCTCAAGCATCTAAATCAATAGGCTCAAGCATCTAAATCAATAGGTCTGAGTTCAATTTTTAATTAGTGGAAAATAAATTATTCGGTCAAGCGAGTTCAT